CCTGTCCCAGTGCTGTGTTTGTTGAGTGTGTTGTTTCTCCCTGTCCCCCCAGTGCTGTGTTTGTTGAGTGTGTTGTTTCTCCCTGTCCCAGTGCTGTGTTTGTTGAGTGTGTTGTTTCTCCCTGTCCCAGTGCTGTGTTTGTTGAGTGTGTTGTTTCTCCCTGTCCCCCCAGTGCTGTGCCCCACTTAGACTCACGCCCGAGTGGACTGGAGCGGGGAGCTGGTGAGCTGGGTGAAGGGCCGGCCGGGGAGTCTACAACCGATGGACAGATGGATGAACAGATGGGCGTGAGAACGGACAGACAGAAGGACAGAAGTAGGAGAGTGAGTGAGGGCCGGCCGGGCGTGGAGCCTACAGACGGATATTCGAATATACAGACGGATAGATATACGGACGGACAGATGGACGTGGGAGGGAGAGGAGGGTCGGCGGTCCTCCCCGGCCAGCGCAAGTCTGCGGCCTTGAGCTAGCTTGGTGACCTTGGTGTTTGATGTCAGCAGAGCTTGTAGGCACGCCGTTTTTCTCCCACAAAACTTTTTGCAACCAACCACTGGAACTATTCAATAGAAGTAATATTTGCTTAATTTCTACATGTCTTCACATCAGTTTATCATTGATTTCTACATGTCTTCACATCAGTTTATCATTGATTTCTACATGTCTTCACATCAGCTTATCATTGATTTCTACATGTCTTCACATCAGTTTATCATTGATTTATACATGTCTTCACATCAGTTTATCATTGATGTCTACATGATGCTTTCACATCAGTTTATCTTTGATTTCTACATCATTGATTTCTACATGTTTTCACATCAGTTTATCATTGATTTCTACATGTCTCAGATAATTTTATCATTGATTTGTACATGTCTCAGATAATTTTATAATTGATTTGTACGTCTCAGATGATTTTATCATTGAGTTGTACATGTTTTCACATCATTTTATCATTGATTTGTACATGTCTCTGATAATTTTATCATTGATTTGTGCATGTCTCTGATAATTTTATCATTGATTTGTACATGTCTCTGATAATTTTATCATTGATTTGTACATGTCTCTGATAATTTTATCATTGAGTTGTACATGTCTCAGATAATTTTATCATTGAGTTGTAAATGTTTCCACGTCATTTTATCATTGATTTGTACATGTCTCAGATAATTTTATCATTGATTTGTACATGTCTCAGATAATTTTATCATTGATTTGTACATGTCTCAGATAATTTTATCATTGATTTGTACATGTTTCACATCATTTTATCATTGATTTGTACATGTTTTCACATCATTTTATCATTGATTTGTACATGTCTCAGATCATCTTGTGATGGATTTTTATGTAGGAATGTATCTTTTCTGTCTTTGATTCTCCCAGATTCTATGGGTGTGTGATGTTCTTTACCTTTGTGCTGTTCCATATAATATATATATCATGGAAGTATATGTTTCGCTTTCTCTGCTGGCCGTGACACCAAGTGAAAGTTTTTTCTGAATGTGCCCATGTTGCTGCATAATGTTAGAACGGGCGGGTCCGGGGGCCAGTGTCCGGACAGTTCATCACTGCCAGGGTTTTCCTCTCTGCTGCTTGCACTTTGTATACATCCTAACTGGCAATGTGTGTGTCTAGCTGTTTTTCTCCTTGTACAAGAGCTACACTCTTCTTTTATGGAAGTCTTGAGCTTTTCTGTTTTAGACAAGTCCCCAATTGATTTTTAGTTGGGTTTTATTTTGTTTTTTGTTTTTGTCCTGAACAGGCCAGGAGGTCTACAAGTCGGGCGTTCTCGTCTCCTCCTCACGTTTGTGCACAAATAAATCAAAAGTATTCAGAAATTGAAACGCCAGCTTTGGACATATAAACACGCGTGTCTGACGTATAGACACCAGGTGTCTGACATATAAACACCTGCGTCTGACATATAAACACCTGCGTCTGACATATAAACACCAGGTGTCTGACATATAAACACGTGCGTCTGACATATAAACACCAGGTGTCTGACATATAAACACCTGCGTCTGACATATAAACACCAGTGTCTAGCCTATGGGCTAACATCTTTCCTGTTGTCTGTTGAAATCTCAGTTGTGTTTTTCCACATTATTTAAATATTTGCCCCTCAGGAAAGCTGGATGGAATCAAAGTCGACAAAATTAATTTTTATTAGAATGGTGTGTTCAACGGATCACATTTTTTTGCCCTTCTAGTGAATGTTTAAATGGATGCTTGTAATCAAAAGTAGGTCTACTATAGTACTACGCTTCATTGTCCTGGTTTCTTCCCAAGGAAACCCCACACGGCCAATCTACTTAAAGCAGCTGTCTGCTCTTTTCCAAATACCTGCCAGCGCGCTGTATGACCTTATGCAGTTGTGAGCGCCGTAAAAGCCTGTACTGCTACATGTACTACGAAATACCTGCCTTCTTTTGCTGGTGGTTTTTGTTGTTGTTTTTATTGGAATGGTGTTTTTCCTGTTTCTCAGAATGGATGGTCGCGCAGCGTGGTACATGTTTTCTCAACTGTCTGTTGTGTGGATGGTCGCGCAGTGTGGTACATGTTTTCTCAACTGTCTGTTGTGTGGATGGTCGCGCAGCGTGGTACATGTTTTCTCAACTGTCTGTTGTGTGGATGGTCGCGCAGTGTGGTACATGTTTTCTCAACTGTCTGTTGTGTGGATGGTCGCGCAGCGTGGTACATGTTTTCTCAACTGTCTGTTGTG